ATACGGCTAGCTGCTTGTCGGTATAAACTATATTTGCCACTGTTGCATTAACCATATCGGTTGTTATGTTCACCTGATTCCCAGTTGCAGTGACATTGAGTGGAAATTGTTCGTCACTTCCAGCTTCTGTTCTTAGTGGATTACTTGCGGTTTGGAATTTGGCCACGGAGAAAAATGTAGGTAGGACGTGGAATTGGATCAGCTCGATTTTCTGTTGATCGGTGAGAGAGTTTAACATGCCTGGTTTGAGGTTAGTGAATGCAGCATCAGTTGGAGCAAATATTGTAAGACCTTGGTTTGAGTTGTCAAGCCGTGAATTGAGTTGATCAGCCACTTGGGTGCTCTTCAGGAGTCGGATAAATGTTGTATATTGCTTGGCCTTTTGAAGAATAGCATTGATGTTGGTGGAACCGGGAAGTGTAGGAACAAGCGCTGAAGGTACAAGAGCCGGTGGCGGAGGTACAGGAGATGGCGCTGGAGGTGCAGGAGCCAGCACCGGAGGTGTAGGAGCTGGAGCCAGACTCTGCGAAAGAGCTGGAGTGCACTGAAAGAAGAACAAGAAGAACACAAGAGGGAATGTTGAGAATATCTGTTTCATTTTGCAGTTTTTTTTCTCTTTCTTGTAGGGTTTTAAGAATAATGGATAAACCCTTTGATTATAGATGAAAGGACTCAAAGGAGAGAGCTTTATTTATACTGCCTGGGAGTTTTTTCCTGCAAAAATAAAAAGAAAAAAAATCTCTCAAGCCCGCACACACTTGAGATGGGCAATAAATGTTGAGTAAGGTGAAAGGTGCAGTTTAAGGTGGCAAGAAAACTTTGACAGTGTTAAGGCAGCTACTGGTTTGCTTAAATTAGGAGGAGAACAACTTGGCTAGTATTGATGCTGGCACAGCCTAATGAGTTCTGAACATAAATATTTCTCCAAGTTTCCATGTTTGTGGACAGAAAATTATGATGATAATGATTATCTAGTGTACGAGAAATCATTAGGCAGTATAATTTCAATGTCAGTGATTGGATTAGATAAGGTAAAGGGTTTAACTAGTTTGTGCATTATGATTGAATTGGATAATGTCAGTATCATTAGGCAGTATGATTTCAATGTCAGTGATTGGAGTTGAGTATATCTTACATTTTATTATTCCACCTTCCTGAGGCATTACCAGAAGCGCCTTGACAATGAGTACAGTGAATTAAAGAAAGAGTATTTCAGATTGAAAAATCTCGTAAGCTTGAGATTTGAATAATCTCTATGATTTGTGCTCTGCTCTTTCATGCTTAACTCTATATAAGATTGTATACT